GTCACTTAGGATGTTGGCATAGTTCAGTTTCATGTAACTGTAGAAGTAAGGTATCCATTTTCTTGTTGGCTGTCAGCAAGGAGTATCTCTTAACTCTTTAAGTCCCCTGTATTTCTTGCCAAATTGTCCCCACTTCTCCCCACCATCCCTACCACTCAAGAATATCTCCCACTACTCTTCTGCCACATTTAATTGCTTCCAACTCGAGAGAGTTCTCTGCTTTTAATGGCTCTTGTGATTAGATTGAGCCAAAATGGATAATCCAAAATAATTTCCCTTTCTTAAAATTTGTACTCATAATTACATTTGTAAAGTCCCATATAACATAACATACCCACCAGTTCATGGATTGTGGCAAGGGCTTTTTTTAGGAGGCTATCATTCTAATCACAGTAACTACTCATCTTGAATTATTTCCTGGCATATCCCTCACTCAGGTAATTAAACAAATATCTTGCAGTCATATGACTAAATTTATTTGTGGGTATGGCATTGAGTTTTGTTTGAATAATCAAGAGAAACTAGAAGTTCTTTGTGGAGAACTTAATTATGAGCCAGATATTATTAGTAGAAAAAGAGGTTGACTAAGGATTTAGAGAAGGGAAAGATCTAAAATAGACCTTGTGAATGGAATAAAAACAGCCAAGTAAATGATAGAGGAGCAATGTGAATATTTGATTTAGCAGCAAAAGAATATAATAGGGTTGAACAATTACTGTATTTCACATTATTATAAGTATGATGCTTCATAAATGCTATTATTATTAATCTGCTATTAAAAACAACATAATATCCTATTTTACACACTACTAAATTTATTTTGTTTAAAATAAACTGAAATTCACTTTTATCTTAAAAAATTTTCCAACACCAAATGTATCATGAATGGGTTTTATTTTATATTTCAGTGTACTAACTAGTAATCTAGAATAAAATTAAAATTCAATTCAACAATATAGCATTTTAGAGCATCTACTAAATACCCATCTATTTGCTGGGTATTTATGCTGGATCCAGAAGATTGGAATATAGTTATGTTATTCTTCTTGCCTATAGGAAACTCACAGGCACATAAATGAATAAATTACAATACTGTGCAGACAGGGCAGTAAGAGAAGCAAGAACACATGGAAGGAATGATTTACTCTATGAAGTAGTAAGACAAGGTTCCCTGTGGGGTTTTTTCTTCTTAAAGGCAATATTTTTATATAGGTTTTTGGTTCACAGAAAAATTGTGAGGACAGTACAGAAATTCCCCATACAGTCTCTGCCCCCACACATACATGGTGTCCCCTATTATCAACATCCTCCACTAGTGTGGTACATTTGTTACAATCAATGAACCTATATTGATGCATCAAAATACCCCAAAGTTCACAGTTTACCTTAAGGTTTACTTTTGATGTTGTGCAGTCTGTGGGTCTGGACAAATATTTATGACATGTATCCATCACTGTAGTGTCGTACTAAGTATCTTCGCTGCCCTAAAAATCCTCTGGGCTCCACCTGTTCACCCCACCCTGCCACCCTAACTAACCACTACTGATCTTTTTACTGTCTCCATAGTTTTGTCTTTTTCAGAATGTGATATAGTTGGCATCATACAGTAATATAGTCTTTTTAGATGTGCTTCTTTCAATTAGTAATAGCACTTAAGGTTCTTCCATGGGTTGGCTGACACTCATTTCTTACTAGTGTTTAATAATATTCCATTGTCTGGAAGTATCAGTTTATACATTCACCTATCAGAGGACATCTTGGTTGCTTCCAAGCTTGGCAATTATGAATAAAACTGTTACAAACATGTCTGTAGGTTTTTGTATGAAGATAAGCTTTCAACTTTTTTTGATAAACACCAGAATTACTATTGCTGGAGGTAAGAGTATGTTTAGTTTTGTAGGCTTTCCTGGTTTTGAAGGAGGCGTGAGCAAAGACACTGAATTATGAAAAGGCACAAGGTATTGGGAAGTTTTAGGTGTGGCTGGAGAGTAGACAGCAAGGAGCAAGTTGGTGAAATTAAGGCTGGAAGGTTGGCAGCATCAGAGCCTATTCTGCCATGCATTTTATTCCAAGGAGATAAAGCACCAGCAAAAACTTTATTGGGAAAACATGTGACTGAATTTGTACTTTAGAAAGATTACCTTGACTACACAGAAAGAATGACTGAGTTGTAGGTCAGTTACAGGCTGGAAAAACAGGTTAGATAAATCAGGGATACATTCTGAGAAATGTGTTATTAGGCAACTAGATTGTTGTGTGAACATCTATAGAGTGTACTTCCACAAACCTAGATGGTAGAGCCTACCATTGGGGCAGCCAAGAAGTTCATTTCGTTTTATCCGTAAAATAAAAGACAAATTTTCCATTTTCACCAATAACTTTATTAATTTGGATATTTTGAGTATGTCTGCTGTCTCCCACATGGCATAATGTTGATTGTTCTCAGTTAATGTCTCAACTTGATTGCTATCAACTTCAACCGGTCTACCCAACTGTGGATTATTATTCAGTGAAAAATCTCTAGCATGAAACTTCGCAAAAACACTTTGGAAGTGTTCACTCAGTCACAGCACCTTCTCCATACACCGCACAAGTCATTTTTTTGCATTTCAGCTGCGTTTTTACATTCCTTGAAATAATAAAGTATAATACAACAAAAATGTTACATATTTCTTCCATCTTCAATATTAAAATGGCTATATAAAAGTTCACCAATTTAAATTTTTAAAAATGTACATTGATAAGATAGCTGTCACAATACAATCTAACAAAACTGTTTAGAATGAAGTTAAAGACAAATAAGCGCTACTAGAGCTACCTTACAGAAAAAACAAACAAACAAATTTTTTGGCCAACCCAATACATACCTAGGTTATATGGTATACCACCATTGTATGTGCAATCCATTGTTGATCAGAACACTGTTACATGGCACATGACTGTAATATTACACAATTCGTGGTGATGGATATTAACTGGAATTATTCAGGTGATCATTTTACAATACACACAAGTATAGAAACATTGCATTGTACACCTGAACTTAATATAATGTTATGTCAATTTTACCTCAGTTTTAAAAAGCACAATTCAAATTTAACATTAAAGAAAAAGGATGGGGTTGTAGGGATGAAAGCCTAAGCTAAAGTTGTGGAAATGACAATGCAGAGTGGTGGAGAGATTTTCAAGAATTGACAGACTTCATGACTGTTAAAGGTATGAGTGTGCAAAAGGGAGAGAAGGAAAGGGCAAGGAGGAGAGTGAATGGTAAAGACGGGTGGATTTGACGTTTCTGAAAATTTCTGACATGGTAAAAAAATCCAGGTATTTAATAAAGGCTGATGAAATTAGGGAATAAAGAAAAACAAGGAGTAAATAGATGGTGGCAAACACTTTCCCCTTGACCAAATTTTTATTAGGTTTTTCAAAGCTCTCTTCTTGTCTAAGCTTCCTGTGTGGTTCCTGTCTTTGGCCTGCCAAGTCCAGTGTTAGCAAAAATTCTGTTGAATCAGTTTAGATAGAATTTCCCACCTTTGACATCTCATCACCCTTGGTATATGATCAAATTCTTCATCTCTCCCCCTTATTCGGACAATCACATTGGTCCATCTTTAGCAAGAATCCTGTAAAGTCAGTTTAGCAAGGATCACCTCCACCCTTAAAGTCCCCTCTTAGTAATTTTCCATCCACCGACTTCTTTTCCGCTGCTCTTGGGCTATTTCATTCCATCTGTCTTTGTCATATTCATGGTTGAGGCCAATCTGTCTCCTACTCTTCAGTAGTCTTGACACCTACAGTAATAGTTTTAGGACTATAAAGTCTTCCTAATCATTTTAACAAGTATAAGAATATTTTTTCCTTTAACAATGGGGAGAAAGAGCTCTCCAAAACTAAAGATACTTCTATATGCCTGCAAAATTTAATTTGTACATACATCTTTTAACTATTGTCTAGCTAAAAAACATGTCTGGATTATGTACTGCATGGGTTTACCAGGCATAATGATGTATGCAATCCATCCATGTGTGTGTCTCAAGAGTCTAGAAAGCTGACTGTCTCATCTTAATAAAATAATAATGATAATAATGTCAGTCCAGCACCCAGTGTTTGGCAGCTTACCCTTTCTAAAAGACTTTACAGTAGTTTTACCGGGGAGCTAAAGTTTAACACCCATGAGGGTACTAGTGTACCTAGGGGGAGAGGGTAAAAGCCTTAGTAACATTTTGAGTTTGAGGTACAGTAATGACACTTTTCTGTTTTCTAATCTCAACTTATTTGCTAGTTCAATTCAAGGGAGTAAGGGAGGAAGCTGTTGTAACTACCCAAATTTGCTGCTGTAGCATGAAAGCTGCTTGACATGTAAAAGAATGAGCAGGGCTGGGTTCTAATGAAACTTTTTTTATGGGCACCGAAATTTGAATTTCATGTAATTGTCACGTGCCCTAAAACATTTTTATTTTTTTAACCACTGAAAAAAAATGTAAAAACCATTCTTAGCTCACAGATACTCAAAATAAGTGGGCCATATTTGTCCTAAGGGCTATCTATAGTTTGCTGACATGGTACACATAAAATGTCAGAACCTGAGTATACATTAACTTCACAGGGTGACTTCCAACGAGATAATATATGTTAAACCGCTTTCCAGTGATATTTAGTTCGGCATCGAAGCCCAGGAATGGTGACAGCTAAGTGGTGTGGGCCCGAACTCACGCTCCGAGGAACGAGGGAGGCCGACAAAGAATGGAAGCTCACAACGAAGAGGAAAGAAGAAAACAAACTGCTTCTTCCGCCCCCAAGCGGCGGCGTCTCCAGTCTCCAGCGGGTGCGTGCAGCGGGCGCGTGCCGGCACGCACGCCTACCGCCTCGCTCTCAGTGGTGCTCTGTTGCGCACGTCTCGAGGCGGGGTAGGAGGGGCGATAGACGAGCTGACCAGGCCGGTCCTCCAGGATGGGCGGGTAGACGCCGGCCACGTTACGTCACTTCCTCTGGAGCGGAGCGGGGCGGAGCTGGGGAGCGGGTGGTCACGGCGTCTGCGGTTGGGTTTGTGTTGGGAGCTCAGCTAATGCTGGCAGGCCTGAGTGGAGGTTGATTCCAGGAAGAGGCGAGTCGCCGCAGCCCGGTAGTATTTGCGGCCTGCACCACGGTAAGTGGCCGCAGAGGGACACAGGCGGAAGCTGGAAGTCTTGGAGCCCCGGGCGCTTATCAACCCTCCTGGTCTCCTGAGCTCTCCTTCGAGGACGCTTCCAGAGGGGGCGGGGGTGTCGGGGGTGGGGTGTGGGAGACTCGCAGCTTGCAGGAGGTCCCAGGACCTAGGCTCCAGACAGCGACCGGACAGCGGAAGGAGCTTCGCGAGTACTGGGGCCGTTTCGTGCGAAGTGCCCTCTGACCCGGTACCCCCGTGGGTTTTGTTGGGCACAGTCGTGCAAATTGTTTTGATTTCTCTGGTCCCTCCCCGTGCTTGTTGCTCCACCTCCTCGACTCCTAGCCTAGTTACCCAGAGTCTGCTTGGCTTCCCCCCAACGGTAGGGTTTTCCAGCATTTCCCCGGTGACTGTCAAAACGGCTTTCCTATTCTACATCATTCTCGAATGTCAGTGCACCGGATGACTTCATTGCTTAGTATTTGCGTCAGCTACTACTTTTTAACCCCACCCACATTTAACCCTATCCTTAACTATTGCTTATGCGGATTCAGTTGTGTGCTTTTTATTTTATTTTTAAAAAGACTTTATTTAGAAGGAAAGGGAGGGAGAAGGAGAGGGAGAGAAACATCAGTGCTTGGTTGCCTTTCACGCACCTCGCACTGGGGACCCGGTCCGCAACCGAGGCATGTACCCTAGACCGGGACTGGAACTCGCGACCCTTTGGTTTGTAGACTGACGTTCAATCCACTGAGCCACATCAGCCAGGGCCAGTTGTGCTTTTTAAAAGGTGATACTGATTGCATCATTATATTGCAGTGCTTCCCCTCATTGTCATGTTGGGAGGAACCTGGTTTCTGTGTTTCATACAATGGTAATATTAAAGAAAAGTGGTGACTCCTAGGAAAAACTTAGGAGATTTGTCATTAGGGACCGTCATATAATCTTATTTAAAGCAGTGTTTTTATTTCCAGTAATAGTTGCATCGTGGTTTCACAGTTCTAATTGTTGAGATTTCAAAAGTGAAAAAAAACCTGTTTAAATGTATCAAGAAAATGCTGTTAAAACGCTGTATTATTAAGAATTTAAAAAGTGAGAATTTTTAGAGTTTATGCCTATGAGGCAGTTGTTTCAAGCCTATTGTAGTTATTTTGTTAAAGTGCTTGTGCAGATTTGTTGTACTTTCAATAAATCACCATGATCTGATTTCATAATTTTTATTAATAAAGTTTTTTCTCATAATGATAGTTTTTCCAATTCTATGTGAGATGTAAATTAAAGTCTTAAAAGCAATATCCTTTTAATAAGTGATGTTGAATGACAGGATCAGTCTTACTAGTTTATGTATTTACTTCACATGCAAAGTTAAAAGTACAGCTTGTACTTTGACTTGGTTTTTTTGGCTCAGACGTTGACAAAGGAATTGTGCTGAAGGTATGTATTGTGTCATTGTGTATCATTTATGAAAATGTCAGAGTTAGAGCTATTAGCCCAAGACGCCTTCCTGTTTTCATCATCTTTCTCATATTTTACTTTGTTCATTATCCATCAGTTTTTATTTTTTTAATATTTATTTATTTTTAGAGAGAGGGGAAGGGAGTAAGAAGGAGAGGGAGAGAAACACCAATGTGTGGTTGCCTTTCACCAGGATTGGGATTCAAACCAGTGACCATGTGTTTTGAAAGCCAGCACTCAATCCACTGAATCACACCAGTCTGAGCTATCCATCAGTTTTTAGAACTTTGCCCGTCAGTTTTTAGAATATTGATTTCATTGCCCTGACTTTTTTTCAGGCTATTTTTTCTCCTGTGCCTTATGGTTCCTTGGATGACTTCCTCTTTCTAACTCTGGATGGCAGTCAAGGCTCTACCCTCGTTCTCTTTTTAAACCACAGTTTTAAAATTTGAAACCCAAGGACTACATTAGTAGGTCCATGAATATCCTGAAATGTCATGGAAAATACAGTATACATATGCAACTAAGCATTTTTCAAAGAAGAGGCACTTTTTTCAGGTTCTGTGGTCCCCAAATTCACGAGAATTATTACTGTAAACCTGTCTGGTAAATCCAGTCTTCCAGTTTCAGGTGTCACTGTGCTTGAAACTCCAGCCATAAACGCATAGCTTACGTTCATGTAGTACATCTCCATTTCAATGTAGACTAAGTACAAGATATTTTTCTTTCATATTTAATTGGCCCCCCCTTCCTAGTTATTCTATATTTACAAATGGCATTCTTCTTAAGACTGATTAAATACCTTTAGTTGTCTTGACACCTCCTTTTCCTTACCCCATCTTTCCTGCCCTGTGTTATTTCTCCATTTTCAAAGTGTGGCTCGGAGTTACTCCCCTCTCCATTATAGTACTTTTACCTTAATTCAGATCCTTGTCAGTTTATGCCTGCATTATTGCAATAACTAAGTCCCTAGAAATTTATTCTTTCCATCATCCACCTAGAAATTTCCACATTTCTTTTTTATTAAATTTATACCTCCACTGTATTTATACCACCCGCAAAAAGGTAGTCTAATCTTCCCTGCTCTTTTCTTAGTTGATGATATCACCTCACTTTATATTTTTCTCTGTGTATTTTTGCACTCTAACTTCATTTCAGGTACATTTACTCGCAAAACACTTATCTGCATTTACTAGTGTAATTTGTTAGCAGTTAAATTAAGCTTGATTTTATTAATAGCTCTTTACGTTTAGTAATTTTTCTTGAGAATTGTCATGTCTAGAGAGGTGTATTAAAAATTGGTTGTGAAATTATTTAGTCTTCCTGTAACTGTCCCCCCTCCCTTATTTTCTGCCTTATATACTATATTTCAATACCAGGTTGATAGCTGTATTTATGATTGGTCATGAGGATTATATCCTATTGGAAGGATACAATTCAGACCTCTACTGTAGTCTGGGCTTATGTAGCTTTGTCTTTTGATTGACTCTTGGGCCCATCTCTACCATTTTTCCTGCGTTTTCTTCCCTTCAAACCACCTTTTGTTCTTGCTATTCCTGATCAAAGTCCATTCATGTCTCCAAAGTTTGGTTGCTTTTTCCTCTGCCTTGAATGCTTTTTTTCCCAGATACTTTGAATAATTTGTGTCCTCACTTTATTCAGGTCGCCAGTAAAATGTCAACTCACTTCTCCTGACAGCCTCAACTAAAATACCATCTTCTGTGCCTTTCCTTTCCAACCCCCAGCTTTATTTTTCTTTATGGCATTTCGCTACCTGATATTATATGTTATGTTAATTCTTTATTTGTTAAGCGATTGTATTGTCCTCCAAGGCCTAAAAGACTACCTGAGATTTAATAAACAATTGGATTATTCTTTTTACTATTATATAGTATCCCTTTTTTATCCATATTCAATGATTTTTACCTTGAATTTTAAAAGCCTTTAAAGTGCTTTTTTGCTTTCTTTTGGTTAGTGTATACCTAGTATATCATTTTCCATGTTCCATTATTTTTAATCATTTTTTGTCATTTTGGTTTGGGTATGTCTAGTAACTAGCATGTAATTGAAGTTTTCATTTCAGAAATGTGCTCTTTCTGTTCACTCTTTGTACAATTCTTTCTTGTCTCATTATTTTTGTTCCTTTTGTGTTTTCATTGACATTGTAAATCTACTTATTTTTTTCTGTTTTTCTTAGTTCTTCAGGACTACTAAGTCTGGTTACACATTTTCCATTTTGGCTATATTTGCTAGTATACTCTCGAGGTGATGATTTACTTCCTTGCTTGTTTTATTCTTTATGAGTTAAACTTTAGTGGTGGTGCCTCAGTGTAGGACTATCATTTGCCTTGTGCTTTGGAAGTGTTCTTAAATGTTAATTTCTGTTGACTTCACCAGCTCTGACTAGTTTTCATTTGTTTAGGGTCTCTGTACCATCAAGGTAATGTGACTGTAGATCTAGGTCTGTGATTCCTCTTCATATGTGGATATCTCACTGTTTTCATGTTTGTGTGGTCAAAAACACATACAAAATTTACCTGAACCATTAAGTTCATTCACATTGTGGTAAAACAGATCTCCAGAACTTTTATCTTGAACAACTGGAACTCTGTACCTATGAAATAACAACTTTCCTTTGTCCTATTCCCTGAACTCCTTATAGCCACCACTCTACTTTCTGTACTTGAATTTGACTATTCTAGATACCTCCCATAAGTGGAACCAGTATTTGCCCTTTTGCGACTGGCTAATTTCACTCAACGTCTTTTAAAAACCTTTATTTCACTAGTGGTTCATCCATGTTGTAGCTTGTCCATGATGAGATCCATGATGAGATTTTCTTCCTTTATTAAGGCTGCATAATGTTATATTTTTTTGTCATGTTTTGTTTATCTCTCCATGGACACGGGTTGTTTCCACCTCTGTTATTGTGAATAGTGCTGCTATGAACATAGGTGTGCAAATATCTCTTTTCTTTGAGACCCTGCTTTCAATTGCTGTGGTCATATACCCAGAAGTAGGATTCCTGAATCATATGGCAGTTCTATTTTAGTAATATTTTGAGGGAACCCCATACTGTCTCCCATAGCAGCCATACCATTTTGGTTCCACCATTAGTGCTCAAGGGTTCCAACTTTTCCACATCTCTGCCAACACTTGTTATTTATTTATTTTGATAATAGCCATCCTAAAGAGGTAATATATCATTTGATTTTGATGTGCATTTCTCTGATAATCAGTGATGTTGAGCATCTTTTCATATGCTTGTTGGCTGTTTGTTTATCATTTTTGGAGAAAAGTCTATTCAAGTCCTTTGCCTCTTTCTTAATTGGGTTGTTTTTGTTGTTGAGTTGTAGAAGTCCATTATTGGTTTTGAGCATGGCTTTCTGTCCACAGATATCCATAATTACAATGGTATTTTATCAAATATTTCTGTATTGGGGATTTTAGAGCTTTTATGTTATTTCAGCTTATTATATTGACTGCAAGTCCTGAGCTCCTCACAAGTCTTGTAAGGAGCTCATAAGAACCAGGAAGATGGATAGGTTTGCTTCTTTTCTCTCCTCCCCACAGTAAAATTGGATATTTTAAAATAATATGCTCACATGATATTTAGAAAGATTTTAGTTCATAGTACCATCTTCTGAACAGTCACACTAGGTTCTTGTCCCATTACTCCATTCTCTCAGAGGTCTGCTAGAGTCATCTTTTAATGGTATTTCTTTCCTTAAAATACTTTATTGACAGTTTGATTTTTAATCTCCTTAGCAAGATTTATAAAACCCTTCATCATCTGGTCCAAACTGCCTTCGAAATATCATCTTCTACCTCTCTCATTCTCTCCAGATCCTGCAGTGAAAGTAGACTCCTTGCAGTTTTTGTTCATGTTGTGTTTGCTTTCTTAAATGCTTGTTTTGTTTTGTTTCATTAGAATTCTCTCCTTCCCTTATCTTGATCCTGTGATACTTTTTAATTTTGCCCAGTTTTTACTATCTTTTTTCATACTAACCTGGATATTTACTCTCACTTTGTGTCTTCCGTTCATAAGGCACCATCTATTAAAAGTGCTTTAAACTGTTTGATTTTTCTTATTACAAAAGTAAAATAAAAAGTAAAAGTCCTTCTAATTTTCTTTTGACCCCACTCCTCAGTTCATGGAATAAACTGGTGCTTATCCTTTCAGAATCAATCAGTCTGTGCAGCCACAGCTTTAAAGTACACATGTAGGCTTTTACTTTCATTTATTACATATCTATGTATCTACATTTATATGTCTTTGTGTGTGTATACTACATATAGTGTTGCAACTTGCCTTTTACTGTACTCTGTATGAAGGATATGTCCATATACAGAGATCATCTGGTTGTCTTTAACTGGTATGGTAACTTTGGTGGGGCTATGCCCACAGGGCACCTTCGTCAACCAAGGATGCAAATAAGTATACCAAGACAAGATCTGCTTGGGGAGGACAGGTGGTCTATCTCTCAAAGGAGAAGGGGCAGGGGCCTGTTCCTCAGTGGGCTTTTTTTAGGTTCAGTTTGCACAGGAATACAGGTAGAGCTCATCAATCATTGTCAGTCAGTATGATCAAACAATAGATAACATTCCAAGAACAATGAGGGCTTATTCTGAGTCAGGGTCAGTTAGCTAAAAGGCCATAAAACTTTGGGGAAACAAACTTATGCTGTGCTTGGACCTTTATCATTTAAATTGAGAGTATTAGGAAAGCAGGTTTCAGAGGATTTTATGCATTCTTTCTTAGGCCTGATTGCCCTGGGGAAACCTCCCTTTCCAGCACAGGGCCATACCCACCTCTGGCATTATTTCAGGCTTAAATCAGGCAGGGTAAGTAAGGCAACCAAGAGATTAGGAGACTTCTCGCAGACAGAATGAGGACTCAGGCTATGTCAAAGCCCAGGGGTAAGGATCCATCACCCTCTTTTTCTATAGTTCCCCAAGTCCTTCCCTGAGGGCCCCTTCGTAACCTGTGCCTGTCTTAGGTTGTCCCTCCCTTGAGGAATCTTACCTGTCATTGGCACCCTGCTGGGGCCAAGCTGGGTGAAGTAAAAGGGTGCAGAGGCAGTGCCCCTAGGAAGACAAGCTTTGTCTCCTTAGTGGCTTATGGTCCCAAGGTCTCTTTACTCAGCCTTGGTCATGGAGGGGTTATAGCTTCTGAAACCAATCAGGGCAGTTCCCAACTGGTAACTCATTCCATTGTATGTATGGACCATAATTTATTTACTTATCCCTTGCCAGAAGAAATTTACATTTGTTTTCAGTGTTTTGATATTCCAAGCAGTGCAGCAGGGATTGCGTGTATATACCTTTGCACTACTATGCAAGCAGTTCTTAATAGGGGAATTGCTGATTAAAGAATATGTGCCTTTTAACATTTGATAGATAGCATTTAATATTTCATTAGATACTGTCAAATAGCTCTGTGTGTCCGATTTCCTCAGCCCCTTGTTAAATACTGGATATTATGAGTCATTTACATTTTTACCAATTATAAAAATTTATTTTAATTGGCATTTTTCTTTGATGCAAAGATGTTTTCATAATTTTTTGTATTCTTCTGTGACTGGACTGTTTATATTCTTTGCTTGTTTTTCTGTTGGATTATTACTTTTTTTACTTATATGTGTTCTTTTTATATTGTGGTTATGAACCCCTCAGCTGTTAGATGTTGCACATGGCTGCTTCTAGTCTGCCTTCGTTAATAAGAACTTATTACTAGATAGTGAAATTTTCTTTACATAGCCAGTCTCTAGCTCTAAACTGAAAGTTCCTTAGTATCCTGTTTGTCTTTGGGGTCTCAGCTTTTAGCAACATACGGAGTATAGATTACATATTCTATAAATGATTTATAATAAATGAGTTATAAGACCTGACTCTTGTCTTCAAAGAACATAGTCTAGCATCACATAAACTTGTCAAGACTTTAACAACAAAGAAGAAAAACAGCATAGTATCTAAAATGCACATTCAGTTAAGTGGTGTATAAAACTTATCTGTTGAGTAGCTTCTCTGAGTTAGTGCTCATGAAACATCCTTCTAATCTTTTTTTCATTGACTTCTGTCCTGAAAGATGAATTATTTTCTGTTAGCTTTAAAATGAAATCTATATCAACCATAATGGAATTATATTATTCTGTCTTTTCTTTGAGACAAGTTTCCAAGTTTAGTTCATATAGTAATCAATGTATTTTTCTTACACCCAATTTCAATTTTACCTTGAATTCTAATTTTTTTTCCTTGCCATTTCAGGTAAGACCATGAATTATGGCATTTCTTAAATGAAGCATTCAGGAATGAAGTGAAAGTCATAACAAATAGAAAATAAGTGATTTCTAAGTTATGTCTATTAATTTGACTATAGATATATATATTTACCTCCTTAGTAATTCACGAAGTCTTTGTGGGAAGCAGAAAAGCAAGCAACTACATTTCTTGTGCTCACCTAAATATCACTGGAAAATAATCAGTATACAAAGAGGTTTTCATACAAGCAAAATAAGATGTAAAGGGACCAAAAGTGAAGCCTCTGCTTACAGTAAACACTGTTACTCTCCAAGCAACAATGATTTACACACCGGAATTTTGAGACTCAGCACTTCTGCTCCCAAGGGACTTACAAAAGTGAGCATTCGTATGTCCCATATTAAAAGTACTTTAACCTCTGTTTCAAAGGCTCTTTTTGGAAATCAGAATGAAATGATCTCACATTTAGCTCAATTTAAGCGAAATTCTATAACATTAAGAAAAGTGTCAGATGGTCGCTGGTTAAAACAGAGAAACATTAAACAAATCATCAAATCTCTAAAAAATTATAGTGACAAATCAACAGAAAAGAGTTCTGTTCCAGAAAAGCAAAGTCGCATTATAGATAAAGACGAAAATATTGGTAAACAAAGTGTTTTTCATTACACAAGTAGTATAACCACAAAATTTGGAGAGTCATTCTACTTTTTATCCAATCATATTAATTCATACTTCAAACGTGAGGAAAAAATGTCTCAAAAAAAGGAAAACAAACATTTCCAGAATAAATCAAAACCTGAAGATAAAAAGGTTGAAGAAGAGAAATCTAGTTCTCCAGATCCTGGTGTGCTGACTGATAAGAAGCCAGACTCAGAATTTTCTTCATATACTGTGGATAAGCCTGAAAGTCCCAGTGGGACACCCGAGGTTCTTCCAGTTTCTACTAAACAAAGTATTGCTAACTTCCTTTCTCGTCCCACTGAAGGTGTACAAGCTTTAGTAGGTGGTTATATTGGTGGACTTGTCCCTAAATTAAAGTATGATTCAAAGAGCCAGTCAGAAGAACAGGAAGAAGTCACCAAAGCTGAGCAGGCTGTCAGCAAAGATAAAAATGTAGAGGAGAAAAAGCGTTTATCTCTTCAGCGAGAAAAGGCAAGTTGTTATGATGGTTTTAATCTTTAATTTTTGTCAAATTGATGTTTTCTTTCCTAATGGGACTTAGAAACTTTAATCATTTGTTAGTATTACTAGAGCAGTATCATGTTATAATCATATATTTTGCATGTCTTTGTAGATTATTGCAAGAGTGAGTATTGATAACAGAACCCGGGCATTAGTTCAGGCGTTAAGAAGAACAAGTGACCCAAAACTTTGCATTAATAGGGTTGAAGAATTGACTTTTCATCTTCTAGAATTTCCTGAAGGAAAAGGAGTGGCTGTCAAGGTAATTTTAATTTTTTTGATCTGGTTTTGTCTTGGAGTAAAAATACTGATAAATCTTCTAAAATGGGGAAAGCAGAGCCTTTCATTATTTTATTTAAATATTTTTGTGGTTTATATCATACATGTGATGTGTAATATTCAGTAAATTGCCCCATTATTCTATGATATACATTATGCTAAATGCTCCCTTTTACTCTTTGTTATAAATTGTGCTGTTAGTAATAATATCTGTATTTTATAATAAAATATTTTATAATGGAAGATAAGTATCAATATATTAACTTTGTCTCAGATTTTTCAAGTATAAAATAGTCAAGATAATTTACATCCATTTAAACAGAATGTTTTCAGAAAATACAATAAGATATAAATGATGTGGCTGAGTATCTTTGTGTCTGTGGTGGGATTATTTGTAATATTTAGTGAACAATTCAAAATATAATGAATAGACAATGTTAATATTTCATTAGAGATCTGTAGTGCATATTTTTAACTTGACATTCAGAAAATTTTAAGTTAATTTATATATATTCAACTTTTTGACAGCCATCTTTGCCGCAAAATTTTCTAAATCTTTGAATAATGTAGTTTTCCATTATAATAATAGCTAAACTTTCATGCTCATAAAATTTGGAGTTATCTTTCATATGGATATAATCTCTTACCTAAAAGATAAATTGTCTAAAAAGAAATGTTCATTGAAGTCTGTTTAACATTTTCATTCATATACTAAAAGCAGAGACCTAAAATTTCATATTTTAAAGAACTCTTTAAAAGCATTTATTGAAGTAAGTTGTGAGTATAAAGTTCCCTGAATTTTCAAAAACTAAACACACCCTTGTAACTAGCACCTAGTTGAAGAATAAATTGACCATGCTTCAGAAGCTTACCTTGTACCGCAAATCATAGTCCCCCACTAAAGTAATCACACGTTAGTTTTACTTCATGTTGTATATTATATGAAATACTGTGACTGGTTTCTTGGAAGAAATCACTCATATTGTTAGTTGTATATCATTTAGTCATTGTTGCTTTTATATTTCATGGTTTGAATATACCACAATTTATTTATTAATTGCACAATTGATGGATTTTTTAATTATTTTCAGTTTTAGTCTATTATGAATAGTCTTGCTAACTGAAATTTGAGGACTCTTATTTTGCATAACTGATCCCAAATCAAAGGACCCTTCAGTACCAAGGAGAAATGTAATATAGGAATGTATATTCAGATCAGTCATGGATGAAAATGTAGGTAGTCTAAAGAAAGTTTTCACTCTTCTCCTAAATAATATCTCAGTAACAATGAACTTTTTATTTATTTATTTTAATTGTTGTTTAAGTACAGTTTTCTGTTTTTTACACCCATCCCAGCCCACCCCCCCAGTGCTTATCATATCACACCTCCCTCCCAATTTCACCCCCCTTAGTTGTTGTCCATGTGTCCTTCATACTAGTTCCTGTAAATCCTTCCCCTTTTTCCCCTGAAATTCCCTCCCCTCTCCCCTCTGGTCACCGTCTGCCTGTTCTCTATTCAGTGTCTTTGGTTATATTTTACTCGCTTGTTTGTTTTGTTGTTTAGCTTCCTGTTAAAGGTGAGATCATATGGTATTTGTCTTTCAATGTCTGCTTATTTCACTCAGCATGTTTTCCATTTCCATCCATGCTGTTGCAAAGGGTAGGAACTCCTTGATAAGTCGCTTTGAACATGGTAGCATGTATACTTTCATATGACCTTTCCCAACTGAATTTTTAATTATTAGCAAGAATTGAGCTGTTGAAAAATGTTAGAATTGTTTATAAAACAATCTATATGAGTTTTATTTGTGTGTACCGTATTTATGGGAAAGTCTGGGAAACTGTCTTTTGTATCTAATGCTCTAAAAGAAACTAGTTTCTTTTCTGTGTATGTATTTTGTGTACTGCACCATGGCAGCCATATCTAGGAAATTATCTCTGATGATTTTTTCACTGTTGATGGTGAAGGTGATATCCCTTCACTATTTTTTAAATAAAAAGTAACCTTTTATAATTTTTAAAAAGACAGCATATGGAAATTGTAGAAAATTTTTAGAAAAAGCAAAAAGTAAGAAAATAAAAACATTTCTACTACCTGAGATCACTACTATTATTAAAGTGTTAGCATCTATTTATATTAATTAAATTGAGCTGAGTTAAGCTCTAATAACAAACAGTGCCAAAATCTCAGCAGCTTAACATAAGTTTATCATTCATGCAAAGTCAGCAGTGATTCTGGACGATTCCCAGAAAGTGTACTTATTTATATGCAGTGGTTACTTCTATCCTGTTTTTTATATCTCAGTAGAAGGCCTACTCCATCTTTTCTATATCAGGTTAAGAGTATTTGAGGAGAAAGTACCATTGGTTTGTTCTGCTCAAAACTTACTTGTCCTGCCCAGTTCTACTGGCCTGAGAAGTACTTGCCTTTGTGTTCCTACAGGGGAAGTGAACTAGGTATTGGTAATGTCTACCACAGTATTCCTCCAGAAATTGTTCTATAAGTATACATCAAAATGAAGTCATTGTATATGTACTATTTTATAACCTGTTTTGTTCAGTTTGCATTGTACACCTTTCTATATCAGTATATTTTCATCTCATCCTATACCCAGTTCAAAATGTTTGTTATATAACTGATTGGGTCTATAAGAGTTTCCAACTTAGACAATACATTTCATGTGATTGTTTTCCTTAAGCCACTTAAGAGGTCTGTTCAGAAAGTATTAAGCCATGTACTATGAAAAATAGAGACATTTGTTGAAGAAGATACAAGACATACTGTACATAGGACAATGATACCTCAGTCCCCTTCTAAGTAGTCACTTTGGGACCTCACACAGTTCTCCCAGCATCTCTTCTAGTGTTCAAAACACTGTGCAAAATCCTTTGTTGGAATTGCCATCAGCTGCCTCCTTATATTTTCCTTAATCTCATCAACCATCTGAAGTCCCTTCCCTTTCAAGTATGATTTTAATTTTGGAAAAAGCTAGAAATCACAGGGTGCCAAATCTGGGCTATAAATGGGCCAAGTCACCTGGGTGATATAATGATTCACCAAAAAATTACACAAGTGCTGCATGAGTGCATGAGCAAGCGAGCTGTTGCGATGAAGCTGCCAATCACCAGTTGTCCTTAGCTGTGACCATTTTCATCATATTGCATGTCTCAGCTGACAAAGAACATTGAAGTGTAGTACTCCTTATTAATTATTTGGCCTGGAGGGGCGTACTTGAGATGGACAACACCTTCCCAATCAAAAAACACAGTTAACATGGTCTTAATCTTGCCATGGCTTTATGTCTTCAGGTGTGGAGAACCAGGGGACTTCTACTGGGATGACTGAGCCTTCATTTCTGTCATAGCTGTAGACCCACGATTCATCTCAGGTTGTGACCTTCTTGAGAAAATTTGGTTCATTGGTAGCGGTTTGAATCAAGTCATTAGCAACTGCAGCACAATGTTCCCTCTGCTCAGGTAGCAGAAGCAGTGGAACGCATTTTGCCATGACACATTTCGTGCCAAAATCCTGCATCCAAATCTCAGACACAGTAGTTTTTGGAATCCCCAGATCAGATTCTACTCTCACACTGTCAGTCACTGATCTTTGTTGATTGTAGCCCATACACGGTTAACATTCTGGGGTGTTCTGCTTGTTGCAGGTGAATCACTTTCAGCAGCTTCTTGACCATCTTTGACGTGTTTGTGCCACACTTTTATTTGCACTGTACTCATTGCATCATCTCCAACAGCGTTCTGAATCATCCAGATAGTTTCTACAGAGGAATGTTCAAGCTTAACGTAAAATCTGATGCAGATTCATTGCTCTACTCTCAGTCATTGTGAATGCAATGGCCACACAGTACACATGTTCACTCAACAGTGTCTACTGCCACCACCAACTAGTATAGTGAAGTTGTCATAGTTCACTCATACACATTCCAGTCTACTCTTCTTGGCTGTCAGGTTACATTGATGTTGCACAAACTGTTCTCATTATGTTAACAATATCTGGATTTTTTTCAGACAGACCTTATATAATATAATGTAGACCTTCCTTACCTGCACCATTAGAACTGACTAATTGAAGAGAACGGGCTGTTTATCTTATAGAATGGCTCGACTTTCTGGATTTACCTGGCTTCCTCTTCTTAGTGTGATTTGCTATATATATTCCTCTTTTCTTTATTTCCTGAACACCGGAATTTAAATATAAAGGCTTGATTGAGTTAAACATTTTCTTACCAGAACAAATTATAGTTGATGTTCAGTGCTTCATACTGCAGCCTGTTAGAAAATATGGTTGGTAGAACAACCATATTTTGCATTAGTGATGCTAACTCAGGCTGACCACTGGATTAGGGAGGTGGCAGTCTGATCTTTTCATTGGACATTGAAGCTGGAACCATTATTTATTAACCATTAACCTGTTTCCAGAACTAGTTGTTTCATTAGGATTGCAGAATAAATTTCTAATTCTGTCATTCTTCTGCATTATAATTGATGTTATTCTGTGATAGTAGAGCTTTCATTCGCTAGGTAAAGCAATTAGGTTATTTTTAAAGATCAATTTTGCAGGAAAAGCAAGAGAAATAATTTGTTTCTAAACATCAATTTTCAAAGTACAGAGTTGCTTCAAAAGCTGCCTCAGTGGTGACATGATTTGGGGCACTTTTTTCTTTACTGTCATTATGAACTTATGGTTTTTAATAAGTTGTGTTTCTGTAATCCTTTCTTCTTCCCATCTCTGTTTTTAAATGCTGAATTTGTCTCAGCTTTTGTCTTCTGGAGGTTCCCTTTCAAGCTGATTTAAATATCTTTTTAAAAAGTTACTATAAAATATATATATAGAAAAAATATATAGAGAAAATATATATCATACGTATACAGCTCCGTGAATTTTTCAAAAATTGAACACATCTGTGAAACCACCACCCAGTGAGTTACGCGTGTTCCAAAAGCTCCTTTGTCGTCCCTCTAATCACTGTCTCCAAAAACACTGACCACTTTTTCTGTTTTCTAGCAGTGTATATTAGCTGTGCTTTTTTCCTAAATGTTATATAAATGGAATAATACAGTATGTGGTTTTTTATGTGTTTCATTTTTCTGTTGAACATTATCTTTGCTAGAACCTTCTGTATTATTGAGCATAGTTGTAGAACATTCATTCTCATTGTGGTGTGTTTTGTGGTATGAATATGGCACAATGTATATATCCGTTTTCTTGCCGATGGCCATTTGGATAGTTTCCAGTTTTGGGAATATTTAGGAATAGTGCTTTTCTGGGATGTATCTTTTGGAAAGCATATGTCTTCATTTCTTAGGGTGAATACCCAAGAGTAGTATTCCTGATCATAGATTATGCTTGTTTTCTTCTTTAGTAGATAATGCCTGATGATTTTGCATAGTGCTTATACCAATTTATACATTCACCAGAATTGCATGAGCCTTCTGGTTGTTCTGCTTCCTCTTCAGCACTTTATATTATTTATCTTTTATATTTTAGCCATTTTGTTGAATGTTTAGTGGTATTGAATTGTGGCTTTAATTTGTATTTGTCTGGTAACAGTGAAGTTCAGCACCTTTTTCAGTGTTTATTGGTCATTTGAATATTTCCTTTGCGAAGTGCATTTTTCAGGTCTTGCTCATTTTTCTGTTGAGTTGACCAGCTTTTTTCTACTAATTTGGAGAATCTCTTTATATATAATGGATATAAATATTTCTATATATATCATAACATATGTAGTAAAGTACATAAGTAATAAGCATAATATATGCTTACCTTTATCCTTTTTATCCTTTCTAATGGTTTTTGGCAAACAAATATTCTTAATTTTAATATTGTCCAATTTATATATATGTTCCTTTATGCTTAGTGTTTGTGTCCTGTTTAAGATATTTTTGCCTATCCTGAGATTATAAAGAGATTATCCTCTGTTTTCTTCTAAAACTTTATTGTTTTACTCTTCACATGTTTGCTGTTCCTGTAGTATAAATTAGGTTATATGGTGTGAGACCTGACTTTTTTTTAAAAAATACATACCCAGTTGGTCTGGCACATAATTGTCATAAATCAGGTGATTATATGTGGATCTGTTTCTGAAGGCTGTGTTCTGTTCCATTGTTATGTTTATCCTTGCTCCCATACTATACTGCTGAAATTGTAGCTTTATAATAAATTGGGTATCTGGTAGCACAAATCTTTCAACTTTGTTTTTCATCTTAATATTGACTTAGGTGTTCTTGGCACATTGTAGTTCCATATAAGTTTTAGAACCACCCTATCTATCAAAAATTTTAAGAAGAGCCCTGGCTGGTGTAGCTCAGTGGATTGAGCGTGGGCCTGCGAACCAGAGTATTGCAGTTCGATTCCCAGTCAGGGTACATACCTGGGTTGCAGGTCAGTTCCTGGCAGGGGACATATGAGAGGCAACCATACATTGATTGATATTTCTCTCCCTCTCTCCTTCCCTTCCCCTCTAAAGATAAATAAAAATTTTTTTAAATTTTTTAAGAAGAGAATTATTCATGCTGGGATTGCATTGATTCTATAGCACAATTTGGGGGGAATTGAGTCTTTATAATACTGAGTCTTCCAAACCTTGAATATAATACATTCTTCTGTTCATTTGGACTGTCTTTGTTTTCCCTCAGTGTATTAGTGGATTTGGACTGCTACAGCAAAATAACAACTAGGTGGCTTATAAACAATAGAAATGTATTTTTTGGAAGCTAGAAGTTCAAGTTCCAGGTGCCAGCATGATCACTTTTGGTGAAGGTCCTCTACCTGGTTCCTAGCTGGTACCTTCTCACTCTGCCCTCTCATGCTGGAAAGGGCAAGGGATCTCTTTTAAGGGCACTGATCCCATTAATGAGAGCTCTGCTCTCATGACCTAAGCACCTCCCAGAGGCTCCATCTCCTAATACCATCCTGATACCACTACACCTCCTAATACCAAAGATGATGATCTTTGGGTGTTAGAATTTCAACATACAAATTTTGAGAGGACACAAATACTCAGACCAGAGTACTCAGTGTTTAAAAGCTTTTCAATCAATGGCTTCACATATTTCATTAGGTTTTTTTTTAAAAAAGTAATTCCTAGGTGTATGATGTTGGTGTAGTAATTTTATTTCTGGTATTTTTATTTAATATATTTGACTGGTGATTGTTATATTAGGATCACCTCTTGGTCTTTGATCATTTGATGCTTGTTTCACATACTATATAATTTTTCTGGATACTGGACATTGTAAATTTAAAAACTTGCTTAAGGTCTATATTATATCAAATGATTTCTTTTTCCAGAGATAGTTTATTTGTTCCTCTGCTTGAAACATGGGGTGGGGGCACTGATGACTTTAAATCAGTTAGGGTCAGAGCTGGGTTAAGGCTGGTTTACAATTTGGTGAGACCTTCAGTTTGCCCTTTTTTTAGGCCATATTTCTCTGGTGCTTGCACTTGAGAGCCTGGTGTGTTCACGACCACCACTGCCATTACCCTTCTGAGTCTTAAAACTCAAGAATACAAAAATTGCACTCTCATTTCCAGAGTTTTTCAGCTTTACCTTCCCATACTACAAAATTAAAGAAGCCACCAAATATCTTGAGGTGAAACTAGCCTTGTGATTTGTGGCCCCTCAAGTCTTTAGTTTTGTGGCTGTAAACCCATGAGAGACTAAATTCTAAATGACCAACTGGTTTCACTGTCCTCCATTTATGGTCCTCTGTCTGAACCAAACCCAGCATTTCAATCTCTAGTTTCGTCTCCAACTCATCAAATACTTCAGGAGAAATAAAAGTTCACGTTCTAGCAGGTATCCTTTTACCAGAATCTTAGCTCCTCCTGTACCTTCAGCAGCTCTTCAGTGCTTTTAAATCAGTGGTACTTTTTTTCAAATCAAGCTTTCCAGATGATCTTACGAAGAGACTGTTCTGTGCCAGCAAGAATAGCAGTTAATATCTTCATGCTCCACTATTGCTCAGGTTACTCCGGTTGGGCCTTGGAGGTCAACACTAAGCCAGAGCAAATAAAACAAAAAAAAAATTGAAAGATTTAGAACAATAATATTGTAGATTTAGACTTATTAAAAAAGAGAAGCAAAATGAGTGATACATTGGGGGGTTAGTTGATTTACTGGAGGTTACACAGCACAAGTATACCTACAACTCAACTATTCCTTTAAACTTTAAATCGGGGCTACTGACAAGATGTTTCTATGCACAGAACCTGTAGAGCCTGGTAAATTCATTGTAGAACCCTAGGATTTAAGCTCTTGCCTCTGATCAGCAGTATGAAGTTGAATGCATAGCATTTTGAAGTCCCAGGTTTGTTTAACTTTTTAATTGTAATGGTCATCTTTTGCCTTCTACCTTAACTTTATTAATTAACTTTTGTTCATATATCACCATGAGCTACCCTGGTGTTCCATGTTGAGTGTACACAAGGTGTTTTTTTTCCTTTAGTAGCAAGTTTAATTTCCTATAATTATGAAGCAATTTCATCTTAACTTTGGGATTTAGACAAAATATTGTATAAAATTTATAATGTTAACCTTATTTTGTAACATTGTTTGTAAAGTTTTGTTAAGCAAATTACATTTTCTCTGATTTTTCAGTGTTGCATCTTTAAAGGAAATATTTGGGAAGAGGTTAATTTTTGACCTAGATATTAGGACAAATATATTCTAGATATTAATTGACATTAATCAATGTGTCAAGCATTAATGTATCATTTAAGACACCTAAGAAAGTAATAAACACTGGCGCCTTCATTGCATGTGATGGTATACACATATTGGTTACAAATTAATCATGTATTTTTTACTTTTGACTTGACAAAAGTAACAAAAAGTCATTTTTCTCAATATAGGAGAAAATTATTCCATATTTATTACGATTGAGGCAAATTAAGGATGAAACTCTTCAGGCTGCAGTTAGAGAAATTTTGGCTTTAATTGGCTATGTGGATCCAGTGAAAGGAAGAGGAATTCGAATTCTTACAATTGATGGTGGAGGAACAAGGTAAGACTGGAAAAATGATCTTTAAAATCTATAATTCCAATTCAGCTTAGGAATTTTTAAAAAATAATTTGGTATAATTATGTCATTGCAAAATCAAATTTTTAAAATAAAACATGAAATAGTTTTCTTTACTTACCAATTTCAGAGTTCCTTCAGCATATCTGAATTTCCTTTTATTTTAATTCAGCCTAGTCTTTATATTTTAATTTGGTCTTTTCAGACAGTTTCGGCAGTTTAAGACAGTTTATGAACCAACCTTCTCTTAAAAGCCTGGCAGTATTTTATAATACTCGCTTTTTAAATTACATTTATCTTACCGTATGTCAACGACTCATTTAGTAAAGTGATGGTAATGAAGGAGCCTATATCAGTGATTTCCTGACCGCCAACATCTTCATTTGTAGATGCCAGTTCTGGTTTTACCCAAGTGCATTCTTAGTTCAAAAGGAGATAATTTTACTGTCAAGCTCCATTCTTCTGGCAGTCTATCCACACTTCTTATTCTGTCTTAGTTTGTCTAGTTTCTTATGACTTACTAGTTAGATTCTTTGGCTTAGTCTTATGAAACTTTTCCCCCAGTTTGCTAGCTTGGGTTCCAATTCCCTGCCATTTCTTCTCTTACCTCCTAGAGTCATAGTACATGCCTTGCCTTACGTTCTTCAGTTAATTTATTTCTCTGACTTCCTTCTCTGGTATACCTGCTTTGCCAGTTACTATTTTGTATGATCAAGTACTACCCTTATTTTTTGTTAAATTTTATAGTTTTGCATGTGAGCCAAATCCTTTAATGTGAATGATGAGAGGAGGAGGCTATTTAATAATATAGGCAGAAGGCAATAAAATACCAGCCTCATGGGGTAGCAAGTGGAAAGCAAGAAAAAGGAATAATATGCAAAAAATTTGAAGGGAAAGGTGGGATGGATATAATAACAATAGGTCAAGATCATTCTTAAGTATAAACTCTGTGGATGACTAGGACAGAACTGTAGGGATGGGCAGAAGGTGATTGATATTGAAAAAGAGTTCTGTTTTAGGTATGTTGAATATAAGGTATCACACTTCCACGTAGAAGTACCTATTAGTTGGTAAATGAAGATAAAATTGATTGAGAGGAAGAGTCTTAGAAGACCTTTTGGATTGTTCTAGGGAAGAGAAATAATCCAAGAAGGTAGACATCATTCGTGTGATAAAGTTGTAAAGAATTGAAGAGAATCATTCTGACTCACCGAATTGGTACAAGGGATGAGAAGCAGGGAAAGTGGCAGTTAAGTCAGTAAGGAATTTCACCGAGGAGTAGGAAGAAGCCATGTCTCTCTGCCATTAAGTTCAGGAGAGTTGGGAGGGATGGTGTTATTCATTGAGTCAAGTAACAAGTATTGATTAAGTGCCCACCGTGTTCTAAATACTGATTTAGGTCCTGGTGTGACTCAGTAAACAAAACAGACAAAATCCAAGTCTTCATCATGCTACTATTCTAGAGAAAGGAAGAGACAACAAATAGAAAAAAAATACTGAGTAATGGGTGCTGTGAAGAAAATAAAAGCAAGGGAAAGGGGTAGAGAGTAACTGTTATTTCAGAGAGTGAGCGTGATTGACTTTTTGAAGAAGTAACATTTAAGTGGAGATCTGAAAGAAGAATATTAAAATATCTGTTTAGAGTGAGGGAGATAATGGGGAAAAGAGCTTTATGGCCAATAAGTATTTGACTTCCTAGAAATGGTAGTTTTGAAAGTCAAAGGAAATTGAAGTGAAGATAATTTGGGAGAACCTAGAGGTGGGTTAGAATGAAGGTAGGGTAGATCATTGATTCTTCTCTGAAGACATCTCTTCCCCTTAGAAGATATTTGTGTCTAGAGGCATTTTTGGTTGTCACAACTAGGGGACTGCCACTTGGATTTAGTGAGAAGACAGTTGTTGCTTAGTATCTACAATGCATAGGATAGCCCTCTACAACAAAGAATTAGCCATCCCAAAATGTCAACAGTGCTGTTGTTGAGAGAAACCTTGGTTTAGGGGAATGTGACAGAGCAGCCAGAATGGGAAGTTGGTGTCAAAATGAGTAAGGTAAGAGGATTTGTAAGACAAAGAATTTTTATCTTTTATTTATTTTGTGTAAGAAAAGGTACAGTAGGTACAGTATTGGGCATATAGAACCAACCTGACAAATATATTTATTTTTAAATTTATCCTGAGTTAATTTCTAAATATAGCATTTACAAGTAGTTTTCTTTTTCATTATACTAGTAAAATTTGGGAGGGAAAATACAAAGTAAAACAAATGATAGCTCAGAATTTCAAGATTATTTTTAATATTTTTATTTATTTCCTGAAATATTTTTCTGTGTGAATATATATGCATGTTTTATTTCATTTTTATAAGGGAGATCATATTAATAAATATATTTTATCCAGCATTATCTTTAACTCTTCATGTCTCACCTTGAATTCAGAACATAGCTGTTATAAGTCATTTTATGTTCTCTTAACACTTCAAATCCACATTATTTCTTACAATTAAACATCAGCATTTTTGATTTTCTGATGACTTCCTGTTAGCAGTATCAAAGTATAATTTGTCATTCTCAATTTTATTTTGTGGTGTCTGACCGCCATTGTGTTCCAGGACTTCTCTGCCCTACACCTTGGGTTGGGATTATAATGTTTCATTATTTCTGTCTATTCTCTGAGTGTTAAGAATTGTCCACATCCCAGAGGTTATTATGCTAAGTGAAATAAGTCAGACAAAGACAAATATCAAGATTTCATTTAAATGTGCAATCTGGAAAACACAATAAATGAACACACAAAACAAACTCGTAGATACAGAGAACAAACTAATGGTTGCCAAATTCAGGAATGGGTAGAAAAGGTAAAAGGATTTTGAAGTACAAATCGGTACTTACAAAATAGTCACAGAGATGTGAAGAACAGCATAAGAAATACAGTCAATAATATTGTGATAACTATGTATGGTGCCAGATAGTTTACTAGACTTACCGGGGTGATCACTTTGTAAGTTATATAACTGTCTAATCACTATGTTACATACCTGAAACTAATATAATATTGTATATCAACTATAATTAAAAGTAAATTCAAAATTTTTCAAAACAGAATTGTCTACCCTGAATTGGCTTACACTTCCTAGACTATTTCATCTTTTACATTCATTGTGAAGTTATTTGCAGCCTTTAGCAAAGATCCAGAAATGAATAAAGTCAGTAGCATAAATTAATACATCCTTAATGTAAAGCACTATCCTAAGGTTGTTAAGACTTTAAAAAAATGGATAAAAGCTTAAATGACTAGTGAAATGCGTAAAACAAAATTGTGTAGAAGCATAGGCGACTGACTGACTACAATGGTAAGAGAAGAAACCAATATATGGCATCCCCAAACTGGTGAGTGGAGATTTTAAGTATTTTCCACTGTTGGGGTATTTTTATGTTTTTATCTTTATTATATTTTTTTTATGTATTGATTTTTTAGGAAGAGAGAGACATCAGTTTGTTGTTTTACTTATTTATGCACTCAGTGGTTGATTCTTGTGTTTTCTGACCCGAGATCGAACTTGTAACCAGGACAACACTAAGTGACTTACCTACCCAGCCTGGGCAGTTGGGATTTTTTTTTATAATTTTAATCTCACATTGGCATATCTTTGCAGTCTAGATACTCATATATATTTTAAAACATGGAGCAGTGCCATAGGTTTTGTACCATCATTTAGATACTGGATATTCAAAGATCATCTTGAAAACTTAAGCAACTTTTGCTGAGGCTAAAGTATATTATTTGCTTTTGTATTAGCATACAAGCTAGAAAAGCAACTTTTAGGATTGTTTTATTCAATAACTTAACTTTCCTTGAAACAGGAATTTTTGCCTTTATATTTTGCCTTTATATTTTTTGTAGGGGTTTGATTGCTCTTCAGACACTGCGAAAATTAGTTGAATTAACTCAGAAGCCAGTTCACCAGCTGTTTGATTACATCTGTGGTGTCAGCACAGGTAATTATTATGGGAATGGTACATCCTAGCAGTGCATTAACAATAAGAACGTTAAGCACTTATGTTCAAGATCATTCTTTGAAATGATGAATATTAATTTCATGTTTTGGTGAATAATCCTTTGGTTTGCTTAATGAACCTTGAAAAATAATTTATTGGGAATAAAGTAACATTAAGAAAATAGTTTTTAATGTGTTTGCTAATATTTTCTAAATAAGTCACAGTGACAAGTTACAAACTATGAATGATCACTTTAAGGACAGTAATGAAATGAAGGGTCAGTAGGTACTCAACTTGTACTTGAACCAATAGCATATTAAAAATAGATAAGATTGTACTTATTTGTGAGAAAAAAACAAATTAATTGCTTTTTCTATCACTTTTCTTTAATCTGGTTGTTTGTATTACGGAACCCCACCTATGCTGTTCTGGAACAGCTATGGGGTTTGATTGCCTCCCACCAAGAAACATGACTTTCAAGGCAAGAGTTTGGTGAAAAGGAAAGGAGTGTTTATTTACAGGTTATACAGATTCAGAATAATGGCAGATTTTTACTGTTAAGTCCCACTCTGTTTAAAACACCCCAAAACACATAATCCTGCCCCCGTTTGCCAACCCAGGCCAGTTGTAGAGTACAGCAGTCAGAGGTACTGTCTTTCAGAAAAGCAGAAATCTGCAGCTCAGCATTTCTGGTCATAGTTCGGCATGCCAGGCACCTCCCACTAATCCATGCTTGGTTAGATGGGGCTGTGCACGGCTCCATCAGCTCTGCCACTGTATTCTCTGGGCAGGTTTCCCAGCAAGTTCTTAATCCAAAACCGCATGGCATCTCCTTACTCTAAATCACGTGGTGCCTCATTACACACCAGATTTCATGGATGAATCCCCCTACTTCATGGCTCCTTCCTCATTGCTGCCTCCTTCTCTCTCAGACCTCATGACTGCTCTTCACTGCTGACCTCATGGCCAATGAGATGGCCCTTCTATACCCTTTCAGACCACATGCTGCTACCCTTCTCTATCTCATCCTGCCCTTATTTTAAATGCTGCCCTGGAGCTTCTTATGTGACCTCATATCTGACCCCCTACAATGTGCTACTGTTGCCAGTTTCCCCATATCTTTTACCTTATTTTGGCTGCCATCTTTAGTCAGGGCAGGCACAGGAGTCTTTGGCTCCTGCCTCTCACATAGGTGCTATATAAGCTTGCCAGCTGCATCAGGAGTCACTGTATGGTCTAAAAGTCAAGGTCTGAGAGTCCTGTAAACCTTTTACCTGGGAGTGAGTGTAGCACTGCTGTCAATTAGCCATTGTTATAAAAAGTATTTTAACTGCAGTATAATCCCTCTCCCCTATCCCCCAACCCTGGGCTGTGGGGATTATTTTGGGGGACCCCCATTTTGTACCCCATTTCATTTTCAAATTGATAACTGTGAGAGTCTATGTTTATTAAAGCTACTTTTAATATTGCTAGGTGACACATAAATTTTATAGTTTCATGTTTGTGTAGAAGAAATGGGCAACTTAGGATGCAATGATACTGAATAATTTCTTAGTTTTTATTGACTCATCATATGCATTTTCATTTTGTTCTTCTGTCTCTTTACCCCAGCTCTCTCACCCATCTGTTCCCCACTCCTAATACCTCCCACCCCTTTACATCTTATCTCAGGATACTCATTGCTGTTGCTTACTTCCCAGGTGACTCTGATGGACTATTAAGATCGCAGATCGTTGCTATATATTTTACTGTTTGACTTGATAATTTCTCATTTTAGTTTATCTTTGTAGATTTTAATTTCTATATCTCGCATCTAGTTTTTAAAATTATAGTTTTAAAGACCTCTAGCAACAAAGTCAAATGATTTGTCCATATTATTTGTGTCAAGTATAACAAGGTGTGAAAACTGAAAAAGAGTAGTCACAGGGATGATTCAATAGCTTTGGGAATGAGATTTCTATGATACTACACTGAATACTAATTCCTCAAGATGTTGGTGTATTTGGAAAATGTTGGGCTAAAGGAAGTTAAACAAGTTTCTTTATGGAAGCACCTCTTAGATCTTTTGGTGTGTTAAAAGAGCATCATGACTCAGAAATTGGAAAATAATATGTATATCCCAAATTGATTTAACTATGGGAACTTTTCTTGAACAAACATTTTCCAGCGCTAGAGTTTTTTTGGTAATTTTTTAAGTCACAAAGATTAACTCATGGAGTAGAATATCCGTTTATATAATATGTACATTTCTATGTTAATCATACTATATCTTTTCTATTGTTTTCTAGCTTATGTTAAACTTAATTTATCATACAGTACTTATAGTTTTTCTTTTTTCCATTTTGTATATTCTAATGTGGAAATTTTGTTTTGTTTATAATTTCTATAAAGTTAACAAACATATATTTAATACAAGAGTGATGTCCTTACAAGTTTAATAAAATTCAGTATTTTTAATATCTTCCCATTTATATAGTAGCTCTACTTAAAAGGAAAAGGAACTTGATTTTTGGCAAGTTATTTCTTGTATTAATTACAACTTTTCTGCAGATTGAAAAATAACAATATTTATCATACATTTATGCCACACAGTGTATTTTCAAATATAAACTGTCTTACCTTTCAGTAGAATAAAACTAAATATAATAAAATATGTAAAATATAGTATGTTAGTGATTTTCTGTTTTCTTTTTCTTTGCAATCTCAAAGTAAGCAGTGATATAATACCGGTCTTTGCCTTGTCCAATAAAACAGTCTCCCCGTCCCTCTGAACCTTTCTCCAGTTTTTCTTGTTAGTTCAGAGTTAGGCCAACTAGATACACTAGGTGGCAGCATGTCCCACCAGTTGCAGCTAGGATATGAAACATGCTATTTAAAATAATATCTTAAAGACCTCATTTCTTTAATTACATTGGTTTCCAACACCAGCCTGAAGGAGAAGCAGTTTTTTAAACAAATTGGAAAGTTGTCAAGTATACTGTTTTCTGTGACCAAAACTAAGGAATTTGTTAAGGTTAGAAAGGACATTCTCTACTACAATATTTTAATTATATATGATTTAATCTAAGGTGAAACAACACATTTTTGTGTTGTTTTACAACACAATTTAAAAATTGTTGTTGTCACCATTGGTTGCCATTTATGTATTCTTATTGAGGCCAAATAAATAAAGCCCTTTACATGTGTTATCTCAATATAAGGACCTTGTAAATTTTTGTTGTAATTATCCTTGCTTCATAAAGGAAAAATCAGGGCTCTGAGAGGTTAAGTAGTTTGTCCCAGGTGACACAGTTTGTTTTCTTTCAGGTGCTATATTAGCATTCATGTTGGGATTATTTCATATGCCCCTGGATGAATGTGAGGAACTTTATCGAAAATTAGGAACAGATGTGTTTTCACAAAATGTCATCGTTGGAACAGTGAAAATGAGTTGGAGCCATGCATTTTATGACAGTCAAACATGGGAAAATATTCTTAAGTAAGTTTAATTATTCTTTCTAAAAACATTTTGATTATCTGGGTAATACCACATGTTATAATGAGGGAAATACGGGAAAGTATGAGGAAGAATATTAAATTACTGAACCCATTAGTTAGAGATAATCGTGATTAATATTTTGGTGAATCTGTTCTAGTCACTATTTTATTGGTTTTGTATGTGTGAGATTTGCATATAAAAGTTGCAGTTGCCTTTCAGAAATTGATACCATACTATGTATAGACCATGTCTGCAACCTATTGTTTTTATTTACCATATTAGTTTTTCTCAGAAGTCATTAACAGATAATCTAAAACATTCATTTTTAAACATTTTTTTCAAAATACAACAAAGTCATAACCATATCCCAAAGTAGAAGCCTTGAGTAGAAACATAAAATTTTACACAAACCTGACCTTGCAGTATATCAGTTTGTAAGATATGTAATTATTGGACCAATGCTGATGTGTTTTAAAAATAATCATATATGTCTCAAAGTATCATTTTGGGCAAAGCCAAACTAAGCTACTATGAGGTGAGAGCTGTGAACACCAGTATACCTGCTAGAAGAGGAAACCCACCAACAAAGAAACGACCACCAGATAACAATGGAAGAAGGTGAAGGAAGACATATTATCCTCAACCCAGGACCAATCCGGAAATACAACTAAATGGTAGAGAGATAAACCAGAACAAACAACTGAACAAGAGTGAGACAAAAGCCTAAAAACCACATACAGACAGAAGAACCAGCTTCAACAAAATGTGTCCACAACTGTACAACAGAATACAATACGTTGTGGACAGGGTGACCCTCAGTTAATTAGCTGGAGGGAAGGACCCACCAAAGGAAGATCCAACAGCAATCAAAGGCAAAAGATATATAGAGAGCCAACATAAATGACAGCCCAAGACCAGCAGGCTCAGGAGATCAAGGAGGCTGTATTACTGAATCTCACAGGTCTTCTACCATAAAAGTTCACACCATAAACCCAGGGAGTCAGAACTTATCAATTAAGAAGCAGACACTAACAAGAACAGTCTCACAATGTGAAGATAAACAATCCCCAAGTGAAAGGAAAGGAGGAAGCCTCAGAAAGAATGCTGAATGAGATAGAGGTAAGTCAACTATCAGATATTGAGTTCAAAGCAGTAGTTATCAGGAAGCCCAATGAGCTCACAGAATTACCAAAAACTACAGGAAACTACAACGAACTCACTGCAAACTATAGCAACATGAAAACAAAAATAGAAATTATCAACATGGGCCAAGAGGAAATAATGAATACAATTTCTGAACTGAAGAACACAGTAGAAGGAATCAAAAGCAGGCTAGAAAAAGCAGAGAAACCAGTGACCTGGAGGACAAGGTAGGAAAAAAACCCAGGAAGAACAAGAAAAGGAAAAGAGGCTCAGAAAGAACAAAGAGGGGTTTAGGGAAATGCAAGACAATATGAAACGTAGTAATATCTGTGTAATAGGGATACCAGAGAAGAAGAGGAAGAGCAAGGGACAGAAAACCTGTTTGAAAAAGTCATGATGGAAAACGTCCTTAATTTGATGAGGGAGAAAGTCACACAAATCCAGGAAAAACAGTCCCACTCAAGAGGAACACAAAGAGACCCACTTCAAGACATCATAATTAAAATGGCAAAATTTCAAGACAAAGACAATATTAAAGGCAGCAAGGGAGAAACAGGAAGTAACATACAACAGAGCCCCAGTAAGACTAGGAGCTGACTTCTCAATGGAAACACTCCAGCCCACAAGGGAATGGCAAGAAATATTTCAAGTAATGAAAACCAGAGACCTGGAACCAAGCCTACTTTACCCAGCAAAGCTCTCAGTTAAGATGGAAGGCCAAATACGGAGCTTCTCAGATAAAAGACGTCTAAAAGAATACACCTCCATCATACCAGCTCGACAAGAGATGCCATGCTAAAGGGAATGCTTTAAGAAAAGGAAGAAAAGGAGTGAGAGAGGAGCACAGGTACAAAAAATGGCAGTGAATAGGTACCTATCAATAATAACCTTAAACGTAAATGGATTAAATGCCCCATCAAAAGACAGAATAGCTGAATGGATAAGAAAACATGACCCACACATATGCTGCCTACAAGAAACCCACCTCAGGACAAAAGACCTACACAGACTAAAAGTGAAGGGCTGGAAACACATCTTCCAAGCAAACGGACATGGAAAAAAAAGCCGGGGTAGCAATACTCATTTCAGACAAAATAGACTTCAAAGAAAGGGCCAGTAAGAGAGACCTAGAAGGTCACTTCATAATACTCAAGGGAAGAATCCACCAAGAAGACATCAACATTGTAAATATATATGCACCCAACATAGGAGCACCCAAATACATAGAGAAAACATTGAAGAACTTTAAAAAGATATTGACGGCAACACAAATATAATAGGGGATTTTAACACCACACTGTCAAAAATGGACAGATTTTCCAAAAAACAGATCGACAAAGTACTGTGGCACTGAACAATGCCCTTGAACAAATGGACTTAACTAATATATATACAGAGAGCCTTTCATCTCAAAGAAGCAAAATATAAATTCTTTTTAAATGCACATGGAACATTTTCAAAGACAGACCACATGATAGAACAAAAAACAAGCCTCAAAAAATTCATCGAGCATTTTCTCTGACCACAAGGGACTGAAACTAGAAACCAACCTCAAGGGAAATACCCAAAGCACTCAAAGTCATGGAGATTGAATAGCATGCTATTAAACAACGACAAATGGGTCAAGAATGAGATCAAGGAAGAAATCAAAAAGTTTCTGGAAACAAGTGAAAATGAACTCACATCAATCCAAAACTTATGAGACACAGTGAAGGCAGTCCTGAGAGGGAAGTTCATAGTGGCACAGGCCCACCTAAAAGAAAAACAAAAGAAACATTTCGAACAAACAGCCTAACCCTATGCCTATAAGAACTCTAGGAACCATAACAAAGACAGCCCAGATCTAGTAGAAGGAAGGAAATAACCAAGATCATCAGAATTAAATAGCATTGAGACTAAAAACACAATTGTAAGGTTCAATAAATCCAGGACCTAGTTCTTTGAAAAGATAAACAAAATCGACAAGCCCTGAAGCAGACTTATCAAGAATAAAAGAGGACCCAAATAAACACAATCAGAAATGAAAGAGGAGAGAGAGATTACAACTGATACCACAGAAATACAAGGAATTGTAAGAAATCATTATGAAGAACTATATGGCAAGAAATTTGAAAACTTAGGTCAAATTTCTAGAAAAGTATAATCTTCCAAAACTGAATGAAGGAGAAGCAGAAAGCCTCAACAGACCAATAACAGCTGATGACATTGAAGCAGTAGTCAAAAAAATTCCTGACACACAAAAGCCCTGAGTCTGATGGTTTCACAGGAGAATTCTATAAAGCATTTAAGGATCAGCTAACCCCTGTCCTTCACAGACTATTCCAAAAAATCCAAAATGATGGACAACTTTCAAACTCTTTTTATGAAGCCAGCATCATCCTAATCCCCAAACCAGACAAAAATAACAAAGACAATTTCAGGCCAATATGGCTGATGAACATAGATGCTAAAATCCTCAAGAAAATAGTGGCAAACCATATCCAACAATACATTAAAAAGATCATACACCATGATCAAGTGGGATTCATCCCAGGGATGCAAGGATGGTACAGTATTTGCAAATCAATAAATGTAATACATCACGTAAACAAAAGCAAAGACAAAATCACATGATCATATCAGTACCTGTGGAAAAAGCATTTGATAAGGTACAGCACCCATTTATGACAAAAACACTCAGCAAAGTGGAATAGAGGGAGCATTCCTCAACATAATAAAGGCCATATATGAGAAACCTACATCCAAAATCATACTCAATGGGCAAAAACTAAAAGCTTGTCCACCAAGATCAGGAACAAGACAAGGTTGTCTAGTTTCATCACTTGTATTCAACATAGTATTGGAAGTCCTCTTCAATCACACAAAAAAAGAAGTAAAAGATGTCCAAATTGGGAAGGAGGAAGCAAAACTGTCATTGTTTGCATATAACATGATAGTGTACATAGTAAATCCTATATACTCCACCCAAAAACTGCTCAACCTAATAAGTGAATTTGGCAAGCAGTGAGATACAAAGTCAGTATTCGGAAATGAAAGTTAGTTTTGTCCACCAAAAAGGAAATATCAGAAATAAAAATCAGGAAAAAAAATTACTTTGGAGACAGCAACAAGGAAAATAAAATATCTAGGAGTAAACCTAACCAAGGAGGTAAAAGATGGGTACTCAGGAAACTATACAGCACTAAGAAAGAAATTAAGGAAGACACAAACAAATGGAAGCATATACCATGTTCATGCATTGGAGAATTAATGTCATCAAAATGTCCATACTACCCAAGGCAATTTATAGATTCAAATCAATCCCTGTTAAAGTGCCAATGACATATTTCACAGATATAGAACAAACATTTCAGAAATTTACACAGAACTATAAACTACCCAGAAAGAACAAAGCAGGAGGGATCACAACACCTGATACCAAACTCTATTACAAGACCACTGTAATCAAAACTGCTTGGTACTGGCATAAGAATAGGCACATAGACCAATGGAACAAAACAGCCCAGAAATAAACCCAAGTCTCTATGGTCAATTAATATTTGACAAAGGGGGAAGAAACATAAAATGGAGTAAAAATAGCCTCTTCAATAAATGGTGTTGGGACAACTGGACAGCTACATGCAAAAAAAAAAATGAAACTTGATCACCAACTTACACCATACACAAAAATAAATCCAAGGTGGATAAAAGACTTACATATAAGTCGCGACACCATAAAAGTCCTAGAGGAAAGCGTTGGCAGGAAAACCTCAGATATTCCACGCAGCAACATCTTCAGTGATATGTCCCCTAGAGCAAGGGACATAAAGGAAGGAATAAACAAATGGGACTTCATTAAATTAAAAAGCTTCTGCATG